CTCCTGCTGGCCACACTATTCCTGATACAAGCCAGCATGCCATTGGCCCTCTTGGCCACCTGGGCACACTGCTGGCTCATATTCAGCCAGCTGTCAACCAGTACCCCCAGGTCCTTTTCCAGCAGGCAGATTTCCAGCCACTCTCCCCCAAGCCTGTAGCGTTACATGGGGTTGTTGTGACCCAAGTGCAGGACCCAGCACTTGGCCTTGTTGAACCTCATACAGTTGGCCTTGGCCCATCGATCCAGCCTGTCCAGATCCCTCTGCAGAGCCCTCTTCCCCTTGAGCAGATTAACATTCCCACCCAGTTTGGTGTCATCTGCAAACTTACTGAGGGTGCACTCAATCCCCTCATCCAGGTCATTGATAAAGATATTAAACAAGACCAGCCCTAGAACTGAGCCCTCGGGAGCACCACTTGTGACCGGCCACCAACTGGATTTAACTCCGTTCACCACAACTCTCTGGGCTCAACCGTCCATCCAGTTTTTTTACCCAGCAATGAGTACACCTGTCTAAGCCGTGAGTTGACAGCTTGTTTAGGAGAATGCTGTGGGAGACTCTGTCGAAGGCTTTGCTGAAGTCCAGGTAGACAACATCCACAGCCTTTCCCTTGTCTACCAGGCAGGTCACCTGGTCATAGAAGGAAATCAGGTTGGTTAGGCAAGACCTGCCTTTCATGAACCCATGCTGGCTGGGCCTGACCCCCTGATTGTCCTCTATATGCCTGGTGAGTACACTCAGGATGAACGGCTCCATAATTTTCGCTGATACCGAGGTCAGAGTGACAGGTCTGTAGTTCCCCGTGGTGCTGTGCTTCTTAAAAATACATATGAGAGGTCGAGAGGTAGGATTTTGTATTTCACAATAGATCAGGTGCATCTAAACTATGTTCCCTGGCTCTTCTGGCTCCATTTCGGCTAATCACCTTGTGTCTGCCTGTGCTATGTATGTGATTTGGGTCACTTCATTTATCTTCACCTTTTGCTTTCAACTTTCTCATTAGTGCAATGGCTATGACATGTCTTAGATCATATTTAGCAAATTGATTAGAATGCTGCTGCTTGCAAGTAACCCTTGAAAAAATGTGAATATCAATAAAAGATCAAGGATTGTATTATACATCCACACTCTTATCAATATGCATATGCCAAATGATGTAAATATTTATGAACAGGTCCACAGTCAATGGAACAACAGAATTGATGAAGTTATTTCTGAATATGGGAATGAGAGTCTGGCTGAGCAGGAGGCCATGTGGAACATTCTGGATGCTGTGCAGCACAATGTAAGAAAAAAACCCCACAAAATATCACCACCAAAAGTACTGCATCAACCAAAAAATGTTTATGCCAATCAGAACTTAGTTTAAAAAACCACCTCCTTTAGTAAAGGATTACTTTTTCAAGATACACTGTTACTATCTGATGTGGGTGGCCAGATTCCTTGCTGTTATATGGAATATTATGGATGAGATAACGTTTTTGAAGGACTTGTCAATGTATGTAGGAGCAGACAGTTCTGGTCGCTGAAGTTTACTGCAGCTTAAAAAACTGATGGGTTTCGTAATATCTTCAACAGTGCTAGATATCATAAAACATTTGGTCTGCTTAAGTGTCAAGACTGACCTGAACCATGGACAAGCAGACATGCTATGAGGTCAAAGCAGGACTCCTACTGTAAGAGCATTTGAATAGGTATGGCAATGAGACTCTCTCAGAAATAATCCTTAAAGCCTCAAATGATCCTGCAAATCAATACTTGCAGCACACATGCTTAATTATTAATCATAATAATTTCTGTGGCATGGCAGCATGTAATTTGTTTCCTATTTCAGAAAAGTCCTTTAAAGCATTTGCATGGGATCAATTATTTTCGAAGTTGTTAGCAATGGTGTCGTGGTTTAACCCAGCTGGCAACTGAGCACCACGCAGCCGCTCACTCACTCGCCCCCTCCCTCTGTGGGATGGGGGAGAGAATCATAGAAAAGAAAAAAGACCCATGGGTTGAGATAGAGACAGTTTAATAAGAGAGAAGAATAACAATAGT